GCTACATTTTTCTTTTAATCCTTTTTCTTTCCTAGAAGTATTTTCACTGGAAATTTAAGGCCTCCTATTGGTGAAATATTATCATTACGAAATTTTAATATTTACAATGTCCATTGGTGTAAGTGTAAGGTATATTGGCAAAACCTATCTCACAATGTAAAATATTCCTGGATAACCAGCAACCATAGATAATGGTGCCGCACATTAATGCATTTGTGTGTTAATGTTGTTATCTTGGCTCCAACTAAAAGAAAATAATGACTTAATACAAGAAAAAAATCTGTTACAGTATCTTGAAGCTTCTGTTCCTTGATATTGATCTACAGTACTAATTCCTGCAAACATTTACAGGCACTTTGACAGGCATTGAAAATTATTAGGAAGCGAAAATTCTTTCTTAATTTATAAAGTACTATAAAAGGCAATCAATAAGATACTGTTATTCTAGCAGCATTTGTGAGACGAACATTGTATTTTAATTCTTTTTTAAAAACCCAGGTTTGTATTGAAATTTAGGTTAGTGTTAAAAAGTCATCTGTGCGTGTGTAATACTGTACGGCAGGTACCCGTACTGAATAGATTGTAGAGTATAAGGTTGGTTTGACAATTTAATTGAATCTGTTGTTGATATAATATAGATGTATACCGTAGATAGCTATAGTATTTATTGCTGATTCCAGTTTATCTTATCTAGACTCTTTGTGAATAAATTTGAAAGAGATAAGTTTCACTTCAGTAATTTTTAGTAAATTACTTAATTATAATAACAATCAAAGAATGTACTATAATAGACCAAATGGTAGATTTTCTTGTTCATTAATGTTACAGTATGATCGTTAAATAAAAAAATAGTAGTTAAGTAAAAAATACATTTTTCTACATATTAATATCCTACGTGCAAAGTCAAATCATGCAGTACTACCAATTTTCTTTTAAAGAATTAACCCTAAAATGGTGAAATTTGTATTTTGTTTTTCTTAGGCCATATGTATGGGTGGTTCAGTGAGCCTCATGTTGGTAGAAACACCAGGGACAATGCTGAGTAACAGGGCTGATTAATTCTAGGCCTGCAATACAACACCTTCAGGTCTAATACAACACAGCATGAGGTGCCGACACTGCAAGTTCGATTCCCTCTCTTTCAGGATTCTTTCTTATAAGCATGGAGTGCGATAGAATTTCAGAGAACACCGCAGTGACGAAATCTTTCCTTCTCTAAATATGTGAACTCATACAAAATATATCTAACAAATCTAATTTTTCAGACTTTTGAAATTCAATGCAACTTATACCAAATAAAAAAATATAACAAATTGAAATATATCAACAGCTTTCTATAAACCAGATCCTAAAATTATTAATTGTTTACAAATTTAATATGAAAAGATTGAAGAAAGTAAACATGTTTCATATTACTGTAAGTTTTGACTATTTTTTATTAAAGGCAGTGAACTACTGTATCTCCTATCCCACCCCTCACAAACAAAGTAATGCATACATAGTTGTTATGGCTTTATTTAGGCAATACTAATTGCTTATGAAAATGTGTTGACATCTGTGGAAATTTGTATGAGCATTTTATTTTGTAAAAGTAAAAAAAAAAACAAAAAAAAAACTAGCAATTTTCAAGACTCGCTGGTAATTGCAGCAAATCCACAAATCACAAGTAAAACTTTATCCATCCCTTTAATGAAGGAAACTATTAAGATGTGTATAAGAGACAGATATATATATATATATTAAAAGGCAAAATACTGAAAAACAACAATGATATATATATATCTTTGTATGATTATACCGATATTCAAATTGTTATCACTTCTTGATGAATTGGCAATTTAATATAAGCCTAGACCTATAGAAAAGTGATTGTGTTAAGTTAGCCCATAACAGTACATTCCTTGTCTGAATGTGGTTAGAATCTCTAATTTCCATTAAAAAATACCATTAACTTTTGATCACATAAACTTGACGTAAGTCAAGTCTTGCCACCACATCAAGTAGATGATTTGATTGCCTCGGGATCTATTTTAAAGAAGGGTATTGTTGTGAAAAAGTATTTGATCTTAATTTGGTAAACAACATCTGACATATTTCTTCTCTATTGATGTTACCTACAATAGTGTAGATTTGAGTTTTGCTTGCTATTGTACAGTATTCAAATATTAACTGGTTCAGGAACAATCAACTCACCAATTTCATTATTAGAAATAACGTATACAGTAGACCTAGTAAATATTAAAAAGATACTCCATTTTTTTGTGGAAAATAATTTAGGATTGCACAGTAACCATTCTTTTTTTCACCTAAGTTTTTCCCCCATTTTTTGAATATTCACAGTTGTAAATTCAGTACTGTAATCAGTGGTTGTACACCATACAGTATATTTTGGATGGCTCTCCTTTAAAAGTGATGGCTTACGAAATGCATTGCCTCATTTTTCTGGCAGGGTATGGCTTGGACAAATGTTATTATCGTCATAAACTAAATTTACAGTCACTTTAAACATAATGGTGTAATACAGTACAGTATTCGCACACTGCATTTGAGTGGCAATTTCGTTACTGTAATTGTTTTTTCAAGTTGGTTATTCTGTAGTTTAATGTGTACTTGCTAAATGGATTAAATCTATCAAAAGGTTTCTAATTGCATAGCACTCTGGCAAACTACTACTGTAAATGTTAATCTTCGAGATAGTTGAATCAAGTATACATGTGCAAACTTACACAGCAGACTCAAGTCCTGTGTCAATTTGCGAATGGATATCATTAAATACTTGATAGACAACTTGTATGAGTTGATTAATCTGTGTTATTTGATACAAAACCAACTTTTTTTTTTTTTGGTTTTCAGAATTAGAGGGATAACTTAAAATTTAAATTCAAATATACAAATGGGTAATTATATAAGCAACATATTTTTAAACAATATATTATATGAAATGACAGTAGCACTTTTAAGACTAACTTGTATAAAATTTAATCTCATAGCTTTCGTCCACTCAGTTGACTTCATCAGGAGACTGGACAAACGAATAAGAACATCTGTACAGTCTCCTGACACGAAAGCTACAGATAAAATTCTATACAAGGCAGGCCTAGTCTTAAAAGTGCTACTGTCGTTTCTTTTATATTCTTCAATAGCAGACTCAGCTACGCATTATATTTTTTAAATATATTTTTTGTGTCATTGCTGATTCTCAATTCATTTAAAAATTAGGCCGATAAATTTTGTTATGTTTCGTTACTCACCATTCTGCACTTTTTAGGGTTACTTGTGGGCATGTTTAATAGAGTAAATTCCATCTTAGCACTTAACAGTGACAAAATACGGTGCATCTATAGCGGAAATCTTTCAAAAGCAATTGCATTTCAAAGTGATTGTTAAATTGCAATTGAAGCTTATACTGCTTAGCAAAGGAAATCATTTGATTAAACTGATAAGGAGATAAGTCTACTAAAAGTACCTCTTCATATTCAAGCATTTAAAAATAGCCATTTATAATATTAATAGCCAAAATACAACTTAATACCTTCAGATTGTTATATAAGTTTTAAATATTAAGTGCCATAAATACTTGCCATACATTTTACGTATCATTGGTTTTTGAAATAGAAATTTGAATAATTTTTAAGCAGATAATTTCATTTTTCATGGTGAACTCCCACACATTTAAGTCTTTAATATCAATTTTAAAATGCTACAACAGAAAACATAAATTAAATCAATAAATCTGACAATTGTTTCATAGAGAGGGTTTGAGGTCTGTAAACTTAAAAGGAAAAGTTATTTAAAACTTGCTTATACAGTATTATACCAAAGAAGTGTGCCACTGATGAAAAAGTGTTCCAAATAAATTACTGTATTTATAGAACAGAATACAGTATATTTTATCATCTTGGTGTTTTATTAATGGGTTTTAATGTTATGCCACAGACGCCTATAAGGTCTGTGTTTATGCAATTGCTGCTGGACAGTCTCTACTGCCCATTATAGCTTGTTTCTGATTGGCTACTGGTGAAAAGAATGTAAACTAACTGTAGTGGCCTTGGTTACTTTCTAGTGGTCATCATCATTTAGAATAAAGATGGGACATTAAAACAGGAGGAGCAGGAAGAGTAAAAGTGATTAATATGGTAATTTAGAAAAAAAGGAAATATGCAGCCAGTCTTTTGTCCATGGTCAGACCACCTACTTTTCTATGGTTTAATTAAAAGGAATGAGTTACTATATTCAATTGTTTTAGCATGCATTCCTTGAATTAAGGGAAGAGCTATCATTAAAATAGAGTCTGATATCCCATGAAAGGAGTGTAGTACTACAAATTTGATCCCCCAATCAACAAATTATGTTTTGTAGCAATGTACACTTAACATCCAATCTGCCTAATAAAATCATTATGACTTTTCACATTCAAAATGACTTAAGTTTTCCTAGACCATGGGGAGCTGCCCTTAAATGTTATACAGGTAGAAAAAGAAATTGTGTTCTGCAATAGCACTATACTGATTCTTTACTATATCATCCATAAGATGTTAGAGTTTAGGGAATAGTTTTTCTTCTATTGCATCGTGACTTTTAAATGCACAGTGCAGTACATTTTCATAATCCAATCATGTAAAATTTGTGAGTTTCATGTACACCAAGCATTATTCCACAAAATGGAATTTGATAACACATTGGGCCTGTGTATATCTCCACATTATTAGAAATACACCTACTGTACACATTAGGAAAGTTGCAATTTCCATAAACGTTTTCATTAATTTATATCTTAATAACATTATTCTGAGCAGTAATTAGTTCCCATGCACCTGTTTTTTAAGTGATTTTCCACGCAATTTACTATACATCTCCTGCACACAAAAAAATGTTACATTTGTAAGATAGTTCACCCCATTTGAACTCTGGTTGGAGAGAAGCGACAAAATTATCTGATGAAAATAAAAACATAAATATATCCTCAATAAAACGGGTAATTCAAAACAACGATTTCTTACCTTCCACCCATAATTTCTCTACATTTGTTTCCATTTTAGCTAATTTCATCCCAATTCCACAAACAACTAAAAAGAGAGCTCCAAGAAATAACACTTTGCCACTGTGAAGATGCAAGTAACATCCGATACAAAATAACATGGACTGGATTTTTGCTCTCCACCATAAGGCCAGTTTATTTCCCTCTGCTCTCCCCTGTAAAAAAACAACAAAAGATTATGACTTTACTGTTATCCAACAAACAAGGATTTACTGAAAACTAGCAATGAAATGAATATTTGATAACTCTGTAGATTAGTCAACAGCCTTACACTTTTGTAATTAAAAATATAGCAGTTTAGTACAATATATATGCTTAGAGTATTTGACTGATGCACAGTACTTTACTTAATTCGCCAATTGGCGCATTAAACAATCCTAATTAAATAATATAAACATTATAAAAGTTAACTAATGACCAACAGAATACACTGATATATTTAAATAGAATGAATGTAATACTCTGAATAATTTTTGTGAGCATTCTTCCATATTGGAAATAAAATGTTGAAGAATGATTCAGTATCTGTCAATAAAAGCAAATCAGCTGTAGTTAATTAAATTTGCCACAGAATGTTCATGAATTACAAGAAATTCAATGCATTATTTTAACTTCACTTTTTTTTAAATATTTCAGTTTGCAATATTCTAAAATTTTACTAAAATCATGCTTATCACCGAAACAAAGTTTTATTTGAAATGGTTACTTCAATTTATATAGAACCAATATATGCCTAGTAATTCAAATCTGAATAGGTCATATCTTATAATAGGGATTAGTAAAACCTCCTTGATTAAAGAGAACAATTTGTTCCTGAAGTGTTAATAAACAAAGCATCTTTATAACTATATTTTATCAGTTTAAAAGCTTTTAAAATATAGCCTAAAAAAGTGATCAGTAATTATCATAAAAATGTTCATGTCACTAGTAACAGTATGGGAATGAGTGTGCAATATTGTTATCAGACCTCTGTCAGAATAAAGTAATAAATAATGCAAATAATCGTATTCATTGTAGTATCCATCAAAATTTCACTGGCCGAATTCAAATTTTAATTTGCAAACAGTAGGCTGGAATTATGTCCTTTGTATTATATTCATTTCACATATATATATATATTCCAAGAAGAGGTCTCCAGAATACTTCGTAGTATTCACAAGAATTTGCTACGTTAATTTTCACAAAAGATGAAACTATGTACTAGGATGGTACCATGCTCTGCGTTCATAAGCATGGATTTGTAATCCGCCTTGAGTTCCCACACACGACGAATAAAGTTTTCACATGCTTCGCAGTCGGCTGAACAAAAAGAGAACAGGTATCGAAAAAGCTCACCCTATCTATCTCTCTGTACGCATATTCTGCATTGCACCAACTTGTTTTGGTTAATAAGTCCTCGTAACAACAATCCTGCGGCATCCGAGGAGGGAGGGAATCCTGTAAAAGGAATAAGAAACACCAAAATGTTTAGACTACTTCCGTTCTTAGGTTGTCTGACTAAGAAGTTGCAGGCCTACGCGCCTAGACTTACACCCATCCGTAAGCACACACACACACCGCTCCATCCAACCTTCATTCACGACTACATTCCAAACGTCCCGTTGGCCATTACTACGGCTTAAAAACATGAATTGTAACAAACCTGAGATTCTCTCGTAGCTGGTCGGGCCCAGCGCTCCATTCTAGGCCTATCATATGCCTAAGAGCAGGCCCATTCGTTCGTATGATTCCAAAGTTTCATTCATTTAGCACAATAACTTCCGATCATCAACAATCGCTTTTGAAATGAATGCCATAGCTAACACAGTGCGAACTGCCTTGGATTTCATCTAAGCCCCGCCCCCCGGCTGTCAGACTGGCACATCTTCAGGTCAAATTTTGCTTCGCTGATTGGTCCATAGTGGGGCCCAAATTGTTGGTTTTACATTTGGTGTCATTAGTTGCTAAGTTACGACAAGGAAGGAGACCAGGACCACACAAGTCGAAATGATGAAAGATTGAGATTCCGTCGGTCAAACCACATAAACACCTTAACAGAACATGCATTAAAGTTGAGCCGAGAAAAATCAACAACGTAGGCAACTCATGACTAAACTTAAAATAAAGGATTAACCCAAACCGCTGTGTAATAATATACATCTTGTCAGAATCTTCTCTTTACCCTAAACATAACGTCAATGGGTTGCGCCTAAAGTAAATCACGAGTCTTTTTTTCCCACCAAAGTGGCAATCCTAATTCAAAGTAATGATAGGCCTAAAATAATAAAAATTATTTTAAGGGAGTGTTACTTTGCTTTACATAAAAAATACAGGAAAATAATAAATGTTTGTTTAAGAAATGAGAATCGCATGCTTATAATTACAATTGACCATCGAAAATGTCCTTTCGGAATTGTCAAGGAAATATGTAGTAGCCTACGAATAAATATTTTATTCAAATGCGTATTGTCGAATAGGGTTTCATTACGTATGGCAACCCGGCATGTGGTCTTTTCTTCGAACTCTCTAATTACCAGCAGCCTGATAAAGCAGGTAAACCTACGCAACTTGGGTGGCCCGAGAACAGCGTTACAAGAACTGAATCAGGCTCCAGTCTTATTAACTCATCCGGGTGTAACTAGACTGGCTTATAAGGCGTTAAGTTTTCATCCAGGGGTCACGCGGCACAAAATAACTGTACGACAAAGTTTGTTGTAATGTTACGCAAGTCTTAATTCCTAAATAAATAAGATTTTTTTTTTAAAACTAATTTTTTCCTTTTTAAGTGTTTAGTATTATAGATAGGCTTAAGGCCTATGTTAAAACAAAATTAATACGAAGACCATACCAACAAAGCGTACGCGTATCATGCCTTTTTTTGCGGAAACGTACGCGTACGCGTTTCCGGTTCTGGCGGAAGAGCGTAAAATATGGACGCGAACGCGTATCCGTGTTAGCCTCTCCTCCAAGGAGCTATTAAAAAGTGGACTCCAAAATTTGCACTGTTGAATATTAAAACTTTGTTTTCATGGTCAATGGTGTTTATAAGGCTAATGAATGTGCAGAATATTGTTGGAATAAATGAGAGGATGAATTTAAGAAAAACATAATTATTAAAATAGGCCTATTGTTAGAAAATTGACATGACAAGACAAGACAAATAAGTTCAAAATAGTTAGAAAAACTGTCATGCTATTGATAAATATCAAATAAACATATATAGTAATAATTATAAAATTTATCTCAGTTGAATGACCTCTATTTTAAAGTATTATTATTTTTTATTGTTGACGTTAAAACATGCAATTGTTTAATTTTAGATCCAAAAGTTGTTTTTCTTGTATTAGAGGTCATTTTGATACTTGGTCTCAGAAGAGAAATTGTTACGGTATAGAACCAATGTTTGGAATCGATAGGTCAAGCAATAGCAATAATAATAGGCCTAATAATAATAATAATAATAATAATAATAATAATAATAATAATAATAATAATCATAATAATAATAATAGCAATAATAATAATAATAATAATAATAATAATAATAATAATAATAATAATAATATAAAAAAAAATCAAAGCAAATTACGGACGTTAAGCAAAGATATCATTGTTCCTATTTATTAAGCACTTGGCTGGTAATCGGATGGATTTTTATATCTATAAATTAATGAAAAGGTCTTTATAAATCAACAGGAATATATTTGTTTCAATCTATGTATCATTGGAATTTAATAACTTTCTTTTTAAAATTAGTTAACCAGTGCTTTAGTCATACCGGTAGTTGATTAAGTTAGATTTCTTTAAATTTTGGACAGACGGTGTTCTAGTTAAATTTGATATCGAAATGAATGTTAGGAATAAAACCTGTGGTCTTAGACGATTGAAAACTTGGCCTAACAAGTTTTAATTCCAGTCCACGACATACATCCTTGAAACTTCAACCGTCATTATAGGAGATAGGTGGCAGAACAGTATAATAATGCGCTTTATTATTCACATATGACCGAGAATTACCCGGTCATTATTAGTGACGTCATAGTAAAAGAAGACATGCTTATTTGACATTTTTACCTCAGCCTCAACTCGTTCTTATTTATTAAGAATTATTTTTTAAGCAATGTCAACCTCGGTGTTCTTATAAATGTGTTCTTATAAAAATAAAGTTTGGTATAATCGTTTATCGTAGTTCATTTTGCTCTTCGATACTAGATTAAATCAAAAAGTAAGTAGGCATAAACGAACATATCATGGGTATTCTTTTTATTAGTTTCTAGAAAAATGGAATATAAAATCCAGACAAATAGACCTGCAAACATGTTTCCACCTTTAGTTGAACCTGGGATATTAAATATTTTAGGTGTGTTTTATTAACCGCAACATATACTTCTGTCCTCGGTTCTACAACATAGGCCTATTTTAAGAGTCATTTTATTTTGAGTGTATGAGTAGGCTAGGCCTATGACACCACTGACTATGCTTAATTTCAACACGATAGACCAGGAAATAGCATAACATGTAATGAAAACTGGAGATTTTGTTGTTTTAGTCGTGCATGTAGACTTAGAAGATGCACCGTAATTATTTCAATTAAATACATAGGCCTAAATGTTATTAAATGTTACGGTATGTTTTAGGCCTACATAATTTGAAAGTGTGAGCATTTCTCTCAATTCCTAAACATTGATTCAGTTTCTAATTCTATCTAATATTCAATTCAAATTTAATTTTAAAAAACTACGTTGAGGTAGAAACTTGAAAAATATAATTAATATGTTTATGAATGCTTATTTTTTTATTTAATTATGTTAAAACCTAGCACCTGAAAAAAAACCTAAATTGTTGTGTTTTCAATAGGTAGATAAACTTCGTTAAATGTGGTGCAAGTTTAATATACCGTGCATACAGTACACATGTCCTATATCTATATCTATTTACAGTACCGTAAATAACGTAAACTGGAAAACGTCATATCATTAGAGCATTACCGCAAGACGGTTTGGTGTTTATCTCTAATCGTATCATGACTTATCTATAGCTATTTACATATATTTTTCACCCCATTTAGCGCATATATATATATATATATATATATATATATATATATATAATAATGATAATACATATACAATATATATCCTATTCCACTATGGCGCTAGGAGTGAAGAATGTATTCTATTTTAACAAAGCGTGACGTCGGAATTGAACCACGACTCTGTCATCCACTGAGCGAGCGACGACATTGCACCGAACAGGTATATAATGTTTGCAAACTTACCGTATGTTTCTTTTTTAAAAATTAAGCTGCATACCATTTAAATTATCGTAATAAAAGCGATTATCTATTATAAAACTATTCCCTTGTTTCATTTTGCCATTATTTTATTAAACTGGTAACTTAATGCGAGTGAGTTTGTGTCAATATGTAAGCTACGATTTTAGTCAGGGGACTTTATCATAGGTTTTTATTTTTTATGATTAAAACATCTCACCGAGGTAGATCATTTTTTACGTAATATGAGAATTAAAAAAAAAAAAACATGGGTCACTTAAGGCTGGCTACTTTGGAATTATGGCAGAAACGACCCCGGATTTCAATATGGCAGTTTATTAAAACGTTGGTCATCAATACTGAAAACCACTGATTGTCAATAATTAATTTTAAAATCAAGAGAAGCAGATCACTTTGAATTGTTCATATATAGCCTGTTCCAAAGCGTAGCTCTTGTTTGTTTATGCAACTGTTCAGAGGTATGCCTTCTCAGTATACCTCAGATCCTAAAGGAACCGTCAGTACATGATGCTTTTAGCGTTACTAATTTAGTCGGTAAAAATTTGAATTTGTTAACGGTACACCACCGGGTCACTTAAGGCCTACAGGTCTCCATTAAAGTAGGCCGATATCATGCATATATATATAC